GATTACAGCTTTGTAATAGAGCTTGAAGTCTGGAATTGTGATACCACCAGCTTTGGTTTTCTTTTTCAACATTCCTTTGGCTATTCAGGGTCTTTTCTGGTTCCATACAAGTTTTAGGATTCTTTTTTGCAGCTCTGTGAAAAATGTTGATGGTATTTTGATAGGGATTGCATTGAATGTGTAGATTGCTCTGGGTAGCATAGACATTTGAACAATATTTATTCTTCCAATCCATGAGCATGGAACGTTTTTCCATTTCCTTGCGTCTTCCTCAATTTCTTTCATGAGTGTTCTATAGTTTTAAGAGTACAGATCCTTTACCTCTTGGTTAGGTTTATCCCTAGGTATCTTATAGTTTTTGGTGCAATTGTAAATGGGATTGATCCCTTAATTTCTCTTTCTTCTGTCTCATTGTTAGTGTATAGAAATGTAACTGATTTATGTGCATTGACTTTATATCCTGCCACTTTGCTGAATTCCTTACATTGAATTCTGCTCTATTATTTATCATTTCTCTTCTCCTGCTCTGTTTAGGCCTTGTTTGCTGTTCTTTCTCCAGCTGCTTTAGGTGTAAGGTTAGGTTGTGTATTTGAGACTTTTCTTGTTTCTTGAGAAAGGCTTATATTGCTATATACTTCCCTCTTAGGACCACCTTTGCTACATCCCAAAGGTTCTGAACTGTTGTATTTTCATTTTCATTTGCTTTCATGAATTTTTAAATCCTTCTTTAATTTCCTCTTTGACCCATTCATTCTGTAGTATGATGCTCTTTAACCTCCATGTATTTGTGTTCCTTCCAATGTTCTCCTGTGATTGAATTCAAGTTTTAAAGCACTGTGGTCTGAGAATATGCAGGGAATAATCCCAGTCTTTTGGTACCAGTTGAGACCTGATTTGTGACCCAGTATGTTCCATGTGCACTTGAGAAGAATTTGTATTCTAATACTTTAGGATGAAATGCTCTGAATATATCTGTGAAATCCAGTGTGTCATTCAAAGCCCTTGTTTCCTTGTTGATCTTCTGCTTAGATGATCTATCCATTGCAGTGAGTCGGGTGTTAAAGTACCCTACTATTATTGTATTATTATCAATGTGTTTCTTTTTGTTATTAATTGATTTATATATTTGGCTGCTCCCAAGTTAAGGGCATAAATATTTACAATGATTAGGTCTTCTTGTTGGATAGACCCTTTAATTATGATATAGCAACACTCCTCATCTCTTATTACAGTCTTTGGTTTAAAAATCTAATTTGTCTGTGGCCAACAGACACATGAAAAAATGCTGAACATCACTCAGCATCAGGGAAATACAAATCAAAACCACAATGAGATACCACCTCATACCAGTCAGAACGGCTAAAATTAGCAAGTCAGGAAACGATAGATGTTGGTGAGGATGCAGAGAAAGGGGAACCCTCCTACACTGTTGGTGGGAATGCAAGCTGGTACAGCCACTCCAGAAAATAGTATGGAGGTTCTTCAAAAAGTTGAAAGTAGAGGGTGCCTGGGTGGCTCAGTTGTAAAGTGTCTGCCTTCGGCTCAGGTCATGATTCCAGCATCCTGGGATCAAACCCGGCATTGGGCTCCCTGCTTGGCAGGAAGCCTACTTCTCCCTCTCCTACTCCTCCTGCTTGTGTTCCCACTCTTGCTGTCTCTCTATCAAATAAATAAAATCTTAAAAAAAAAAAAGTTGAAAGTAGAGCTACCCTACAACCCAGTAATTGCTCTACTGGGTATTTACCTCAAAGATACAAATGTAGTGATCTGAAGGGGCACCTGCACCCCAATGATTATGTCAGCAATGTCCACAATAGCCAAACTATGGAAAGAGCCCAGATGTCCATTGACAGATAGATAAAGAAGATGTGGTGTGTATATATAAATATATATATATATATGGAATATTACACAGCCATCAAAAATTTGAAATCTTCCCATTTGCAATAATGTGGATGGGACTAGAGGGTATTATGCTAAGTGAAATAAGTCAGTCAGAGAAAGACAATTATTATATGATCTCACAGATATGTGGAATTTAAGAACAAAACAGAGGATCATAGGGGAAGGGAGGGACAAAATCAGAGAGGAAGAAAAACCATAAGAGACTCATATGGAAACAAATGGGGTGTTGCTAGAGGGGAGAGGGGTGGAGGGATGGGGTAACTGGGTGATGGACATTAAAGAGGACACATGATGTAATGAGCACTGGGTATTATATAAGACTGATGAATCACAGGCCTGTACCTCTGAAACCAATAATACATTATATGTTAAATTAAAAAATTTATTAAAAAATAAAATAAAATCTGTCTGACATAAGGACTATTACCTCAGCTTTCTTTTGATGTCCATTAGCACAATAAATGTGAATTTGGTATCATTGTATTACCTGTGAAGTCACTGTTTTTCTATATTTTATCTGTTCCTTTCTGGTCTTTGTTATTTTTGGGCTCTCTCTTCACTTAAAGGATTCCATTTAATATTTCTTGCAGGTCTGGTTTAGTGATCACAGATTCTTTTAGTTTTTTTTTTTTTTGTCCTGGAAGCTCTTTATCTCTCCTATTCTGAATGAGAGACTTGCTGGATAAAGTATTCTTGGTTGCATATTTTTCTCATTTAGCACCTCAATTAGTCCTTTCTGACCTGCCAGGTCTCTGTGGACAGGTCTGCTGCCAGCCTTGTAGGTTAAGGAGCTCTTGCCTCAAGCTGCTCTCAGGATTTTCTCTTTATTTCTGAAATTTGCAAGCTTCACTATTGTATGTTGAGGTGTTGACTTATTTTTATTAATTTTGAGGTGGGTTCTCTGTGCCTCCTGGACTTGAATGCCTGTTTCCTTCCCCAGATTAGGGAAGTTCTCAGCTATTATTTGTTCAAATAAACCTTCTGCCCCTCTCTCTCTGTTACTTCTTTTCCTGGGATCCCAACAATTCTAATATTGTTTTGCTTTATGGTATTGCTGATGTCTCAAATCCTCCCCTCATGATCCAGTAGTTGTTTATCTCTTTTTCAGCTTCCTTATTCTCCATCATTTTGTCTTCTATATCACTGACTCTCTCTTCTGCCTTGTTTGTACTTGCAGTTAGAGCCTCCATTTTTGATTGCATCTAAGTAATAGCCTTTTCAATTTCAATCTGATTAGATTTTAGTTCTTTTATTTCTCCAGCAAGGAATTCTCCAGTGTCTTCTATGCTTTTTTCAAGCCCAGCTAGTATTTTTATGATCACTGTTTTGAATTCTAGTTCTGACATCTTACTTATATCCATATTTATTAAATCACTGGCAGTGCATACTGCCTCTTGTTCTCTTTTTTGAGGTTCTTCCATCTTGTCATTATGTCCAGAAAAGAATAGATGAAAGAGAGGGAAAATACTATAATAGCAACAATGACACCAGAAACATATATACTACACAAATCAGAAGAGAACAGAAACCAGAAAGAAAAGAAAAAAAATGAGAATAAAATCCAATAAGAAGTTGAACAGAACCATAAACTAGATCCTGGGTGTATTTTGGTCTGTTTGTTAGAAGAAACTAGATCCCAAAGTAGGAAAGAAAGAAAAACATATATACAAAAATGAAGTTGAATACAATGAAAGGAAGCCAAAAATGAAAAAAAAAAAAAAAAACCCACATAAGTGTAAAAATGAAAATTAAAAAAGACTTAAAAATAATTGATAAAGAAAATAGCTGAAAAGGAAAATAAAATATAAAACAGAAGAACTAAAGAATATTAAGGAAAAAACCACAAATGCTATATACCTCTTTCCCCAAGAGCTGGAGTTTTGCAATTCTATATGAAATTTAAACTTGGTATTAGCCAGAAGTTCCTGCTGGTCTTCTGGGGGAGGGTCCTGTTGTGCTGATTCTCAGGTGTCTTTGCCCAGGTGGAATTGCACCCCTTTGCCAGGGGGCCAGGCTCAGTGTAAGCAGCTCTGGGGCAGGTGTGGGGATGAAAATGGCAGCACCCTGATCTCTAGCCCTGGAGCTGAAAGTTCACCCTCCCCACCCTCGCTTCCCACCCCAGTCTTCAGTGAGCCTTCACAGAAAAGCAGTCAATCACTCTTGTCTTCCTGGTTTCTGTCCGTATTCTGTGTTCACCCAGCCTGTTACTAGTGTTTTTATCTCAGGCATGTGATCCCCTTTCAAGTCTCCAACATTTATGGACTCCTGAGGTATGCACCTGGGCCACTCCTCCAGGGGCAGGAAGGGGGTTATTGCTGTAGTTCTGCCTCTTGCTGGGGCCCCTGCTCAGATAGCAGTGGCCTGAGCATGCAGTAGTTCATGGTTTATGGCAACACCAAGCAGAAAATTGGTGCCTGGGCTCACTGTTTGCAACCAGCTTCCCGAACTCCAATGCTTGGGAACTCTGCCACACTCAGGCACCCTTCTTTTTTCTTTTTGTGACCCTGAAATCCTGAGACCATGCTGTCCCACCTGGGATTCTGTCCTATTTTGTCTCCTCAGCACCTTTCAGGCAAACTTCTAAAAGTTCCGATTTTACCCTCTACTGGTTATAACACTTTCCAGTACCTGGCTTATGGAGGCCCTCTCCCCCCACGGTTTATTTGCCAGTATATCACCTTGGATTCATGTCTCCACACCTCCTACCTTGCAAACAGTGGTCGTTTTTTATTTGTAGAATTGTAGCGATTCTTTTCTCAAATCTCTGGTTGGTTTTGCAGGTGTTCAGAATGATTTGATAACTCTCTAGCTGAATTCCAGGGACCAGGCAAAATTAGGGTCCCCTACTCCTCTGCCATCTTTCTACTCTCTTATAATGACTGTTTTAATGCACTTGTTTCCTAGTAATGTTTGTGCCCATTCTGGGTTGGTTTTTTAAAAAGAGCTTTATTGAAGTAGAATTCACACACCATACAATTATCTATTTAATTGTATAATTATATGGTTTTTAGTATATTTAGATATGTAGAAGCATCGCCATGTTAACTTCAGAACATTTTTTTCTTAAATAATGAATGTGTTTTTATTTCTCTAATTTTTAAAATGTGAACATTCTGTAATTCAGTCACGGGGCCTTTACTTCCAGGTGACTTCTTCATTGGGTCTCAATTCCCTTTTAAACAACAAACTCTTGTTCCGGAAGGCAGTCAGCTTTTCATCATTCTTTCTGTCTAGATAACATCCAAGGACAAACCCCATGGGCACAAGTATATGTACCCAGTGGTCACGAACAATCTGAATTACGTTCATCCTGAGTGCTGCGGCCTTGGTGCCAAAAATGGCCCCACGACAAAGGGCAGCGATGACCCAACCCCAGAACATTTTTAATCACCTTAAAAAGAAACCTCAGACCCATTAGCTATCATTCCTTATTACCCTATCCCCCTCTCAACCTCAAGGAATCACTAGTCTACTTTCTGTCTCTATAGATTTCCCTTCTGGATTTTCATGTTACTGAAATCATACAATACATGGTCTTTTGTAACCTTTCACTTAGCATGTTTTCAGGGTTCATCCATCTTGTGACATGTATTAGTATTAGTATTTCATTCCTTTTTAATAGCTGAATAATTTTCCATTTTATGGATCTATCACGTTTTATTTATCCACATTTGGTTGTTTCCACTTTTTAGTTATTATGAATAAGAGCTGCTATAATCATTAATGTCCAAAGTTTTGCACAGATATCTGCTTTGATTTCTCTTGGGTATATACCCAGGAGTAGAACTGTTGGGTCCTATGGTAACTCTATGTTTAATCATTTGATGAACTGCCAAACTGTTTTCCAAAGTGGCTGCACCATTTTACATTTTCTCCAACAGTGTATGAGGGTTCCAATATCTTCACATCCTTGTCAACACTTGTCATCTACTCTTTGATTCTAGCTATTCTGATAGGTGTGAAGTGGTATCCCATTGTGGTCTGGTTTGGTTTTAATTGATTTTTCTTGTCATCATGTGTTATATTTTTGTTTCCCAGTGTACCTGGTATTTTGTAATTAAATGATAGACATTTTGATTTTATTTTGTGTTGTGCTAGATATTTTTGTGTTCCCATAAATATTTTTGAGCTTTGTTATGAGACACAGTTATTTGAAAATGGTGTGATCCTTTTGGGTCTCGCTATTAATACTTGTTAGGCAGTACCAGAGCAGTATTTAATCATGGGCTAATTATTCCCCACAACTAAAGCAGTATCCTTCTGAGAACTCTATCCAATATTCCTTGAAGTATGAGTTTCTCCAGTTCGGCTAGTTGGAACAGTCACTGTTTCAGCCTCATGTGAACAATAGGAACTTTTCTGATTATTATGGATAGTTGCTTACTGACTTCACATAATTTCCTCTTACATATGTGTTGTTTCATATATTTCATCTAGTTTTTGAGTTGTTTTAGGTGGGAAGGTAAATCTGGTACCTCTGACTCCATCTTGGCTAGAAGCAGAACTGCTTGATCTATTTTAATAGTCTCCTAATTTGCCAAATTTACTGTTTCTCAGCTCAACTTTGTGCTATGAGACTTACCTTTATAAATACAAATTTTATGTGACTCTGTTTATCTCAGATGGACATTGTAAAGACGAAAATGAGAGAAATGACCCTTCCAAGGTTCAGAAACAATTTCATCTATATGTCTGCAACTTCAACTGCTGCTCTCTTTTAGATGGTGTACTGGTAAGTACGGTATTTGAATTTGCTATTTCTGTATTGAATTTTTTTTTTAAAGAGAGTAGTGGTCTTTTTTTAAAAAAGATATTAATTTTTTATTTTGAGAGAGACAGAGATAGCGACAGAGATAGCTATAGAGAAAGCATAAGCAGGGAGGAGAGGGAGAAGCAGGCTCCCCACTGAATAGGGAGCCCAATGCAGGGCTCAATCCCAGGATCAGGACCGGAGCTGAACCACCCAGGTGCCCCTGTATTGAATTTTCTGACTAATTCCCCTCCTACCATTTAAACTGGAAATGACATTTAATCAAGAAACTGAATGAGGGGTGCCTGGGTGGCTCAGTCTTTAAACACTTGCCTTTGGCTCAGGTCATGATCCCAGGGTCCTGGGATCAAGCCCCGTATTGGGCTCTCTACTCAGCGGGGAGCCTGCTTCTCCCTCTCCCACTCCCTTTGCTTGTGTTCCTACTCTCACGCTCTCTCTTCCTGTCAAATAAATAAATAAAATCTTTTAAAAAAAAAGAAACTGAATGAAAGAAAAGATTTTTTTCCCTGTGTATCTCCTTTTATCAGTAAGCTACATTATCCTTCTTGGCAAGTTTTGGCATAGATACTTTGGTTTTCTATGAGCTTGATATAATATATTCTCCTGAAATTTATGAATCTTGATAGCTTTAAAATAGCTTGATACAGAAATTATCAGTAGATAAACATGGAGCTTCTTTAAAGTTTGTTAAGTTCTGGACACCACTGCAGCAAGTAGAAAGAACTACTTTTAATAGTTTCATTTATCTAGAAACTCAGTTACTTAGAGGCTCACCATGAGAGCTCCTTCTGTTCTGATTCTTATCTTTGGGAATTTTCCAACAAGTATATTTCAAAAATCTCAACATACAAGAACTAATTTTTTTTTTAATTTTAAAAGCGTTATTCACCTTATCATTACTAGCAATCAGAAGATTTTATTTTGAATACAGTAATCCCTTGACATTTTGACCTACTGGAAAATACTGTATGTAATTTACTGTCAACTGAAGTCTTCTTGTCTCCCAGGTTTATATACCTGTATTTATTATACCTGTTTTGTCTCATCCATTTTGGGCATAAAACTCAACTTCCCCTTGGTTACAAAAGAAAAAAAAAAGAATAAAACAAAAACCTACTCACAACATGATTTTGTGAAGTCAATTATTTTTCTGAAGACAAGTTATGGTATGAAATCATGTCATGTATCACCTGCTTTTGCCAATACCTCATCTCTCCTCATAATTGTCTTGCCTTCTTTGTCTTCTTATCTCCTCTCTTCTTAGGGCAACCAGGTGCTTTCCCTTTCATTCTGCAATACATCATTTACTAATTATTTTTCATTAATTGTTTAGGCTTTTGGGGTGGCTCAATGATTTGTCAAAGTAATTTTTTTTTTATCCCATGAACCTTCTCCTCAAGGGGAATTCTGGAAAGTAAAACACTTTTATCTATTTTTATGTATAATGTATCTCTCCTTATGTCTATTGCTTAAAGGATTTTAATGAGCATTCTGGTGTCATAGAAGAACCTGAGAGAAAGTGTTAAAGAGTGTACCTTCTTCATTAAAACAAAAACAAAAACTCTAATGAGCTTAAAGATCATCATGTAGTATTGTTATATATCCGTTTGTCTCGTGTTTTTTATTTTGTTTTTTGACATGAAATGTGTCCAGGTTATATCACATCCTTGATTTTGGTATCAACATGTCTGTCTTTCTTGTATTTTGAAAACTGTCCTTGAAAGTAGAAATATGCTAATTTGTATATACTACATCAAATCCTTTTAGAACTGAGGCAGAATATACAATAAATACACACTTATTAGGAAATAAGCTAATGCATATGGATATTTCTGTATCAGTATCAATTCTGATCAAGTCATGTCTTTGCTTAACAATTTCTAGTGATCTCAGAATAAAGTCTGAACTCCTTAGCTTTGCTTATGAGGGCCTTGATGACATGACTTTGTAGTATGTCCATTTCACAGCCTCTGTTTTATGCTGCTGCCATATTGTACTTTTTTCAGCTCTTTGAACCCACATGCACCTTCAACTCCAGGTTCTTTCTTAACTCTGTTCCTTCTCTCTGGAACAATAAATCTCATCTTCCCCAATCTAGACTGGTGGGTACTTTTGCCACATCCTGCTTTAGCAGGATACTTCCATGTTATTTTGATTTCCTATTTACTTTTCTTTATCCTCTGCTGGCTGGCATAAGCTCTGTTAGGACAGGGATCACCTCCTGCTCAATTAATATTCCATCTTCAGGGCCCAGAATAGGGCCTGCAACATATAACATGATAGGTTTTGAAGAATTATGTTTTAAATGTTGAATGAGAACTAATGGGAAGATGAAAAAAGAAATATTATATTGAACAAATTCTTTACCCTTAAGGATCTTGTAATCCAATCGGAGATGATAAATATATACTCACTTATACTACAAGGCTCTATGGAACAAGCTAAGTGCCACAGGAGAGAAGAAAAGCACCATGAAAGTAAAAAGGAAACCAAACCACATCTAAGTGAGAGCTATTAGAAAGGGCTTCAGGCAGAAAAGGATGTCTGAAGTGGGCCTTTAAGGATGGAAAGAGTAAAGTTTCAATGTAGAGTGTAGAGATGCAGAGTGGAAAGAGCTGGTGCTTGTTAGGACATGCCAAATAATTTTTTTATTGGAGTGAAGGGTAAGTGCAGGGCAGATATAGAGGACAAGGCTGGAGAGGATGGCTCGGGCTACATTTGAGGGCTTTGAAATCTAAGCAGAAGGATACATTTTTAACTTGGTTACCAAAGAAAACTTGGAGGGTGTTTGAGCATACTAAGTATTGGATCAATCTTCATTCTTTGTTGCTATCAGTTATGGTACGTATCAGGGAGTTTTTATATTTATTTATTTACTTAAGATTTTAAAAATTTATTTCTTGACAGAGAGAGACACAGTGAGAGAGGGAACACAAGCAGGCAGAGTGGGAGAGGGAGAAGCAGGCTTCCTGCGGAGCAGGGAGCCCAATGCGGGGCTGGATCCCAGGACCCTGGGGTCATGACCTGAGCCGAAGGCAGACGCTTAATGACTGAGCCACCCAGGCGCCCCTCAGGGAGTTTTTAAAGTAAAAGACTTGTAATAGTGATTTTTGTTTCCACATTTCCTTGATCACCATGCTGATTCCCCCATTCTTTCCCTAAGAAGGAGTAATGGTTTGGGACAAAATAAGAAAGTATAATTTATAAATGTTTGACTTTTTGGTTCTAGTTTTAGATTTGTAAAATAACAATAAATTTATTGTAAAACAATTGGTGAACTATTGTGTGTAGATAAAATAATTCTTGATAATTTATTAAGTAAGGTAATTCAATAATATTTTAAGCTGTTTTGATGGTATCATTTAAACTCAGCTCTATTATTTTAAACTTCAATATGGTAAATTGTTTTGAAGTTTCAATATGGTAGACTTGTTTTAAAACTTCTTTGAGTATTTATAAAATGTAAATTTAGAAATTAAGAAACAAAAGAATGAGTATATAATTATATACGCATGAAGGCATCTTTGACAACAAATAAAATGATGTTTTAAAAATGTAATAATGTTGAAAATTTCTTACCATATATTATGGAAAA